ATATTAAAGCCCCATTTCTGGAGAAGGTGGGGAAAGAGGGAGGAAGAGGCCGAAAGCCTACTACGGGAGTCCGTTATCTTAAGATGTTGCGCGAGGCGCAGAGACAGATAATAGACCAAGTACAAAATCTTAAGGAACTTCACGACGAGAGCGTGGCAGCCACTCTCTCGGCCAGGAGGAAGAAGGAGGAGAAGACAGCGATGGAGAAGTTCCGTGACGAGCCGAGCAGTGCACTGTCGTCTATTATTATAAAAGCAGTGAATGGCGTGGATAAAGTCATGGAGAAATCCTCAGCGCTGCAGGGTCCAATGAAGGGCCAACTAAACAAATCGGCTGCAAGAATAAAGGCCACGATAACCTTATTGGCTGAAAGGATGGGAGGTTCTCAAAGGGACAATGAGATGGAGGAACTGCGCGAGAGAGTCGTGCAACAAGAAAAGGAGCTGGTAGCCCTCCACGAAAGTAAGGCGCAGCAGCAAAGGGAGATGGAGGCACTCAAGGAAAACTTGGAGAGGCTGAAGTCTCAGATGGAAAGGAAAGAGGGAACTTTTGATTTACGCGAGAAAAGGAAGGGAATCATAGCGAAGAGAAAGAAGCTACGAGACCTGTCGACCTCCTCCTCCTCCTCGGACGAGGACCCGCCCAACGAGGTGAGGGGGCCGGTCGAGGAAATGGAAATGGAGGTGGTTGCGGAGGAGAGCTCGAGGGAGAGAGTTCTGGCTCAAGTGGAGAAGGATGGCATGCCGGCAGCCGTGAGGCCTGTGCTGTTAGGCAAGAAGAAGATCCTGGATCCGGCGTTGCCTGCAAAGGACCCGAGTCAGGACAAATGGGACGAAAGGGACAGAGAAATGGAGTACCTGAAGAGCAGGGTGAATGAGATTCTTGCCTTCAACTTGTCTCAGTCCCAACCGCAGTCTCAATCGCAACCTCAGTCACAACCAACAACGGAGGTTGAGAAGGTACCGCTTGTCAAGCGGACAGGGACAGAAGGTAAGGGCAAGGGAAAGAAGAAAGGGAAGGAGAAGACAAAGCCGGCGCCTGTTCCCACACCGGCTGCGAAGAAATCGCAGCCGCAGGTACCAAGGCGACAGACGGCTCCTGTTCCCGCTCCCGTTCCCACGTCGGCTGCGACTGCCAAAAAGCAAACGCAGCCGCAGGTACAAGGGGGGAAGAAGGCCACCCCCGCCCCGGTTCCCACGAGGGCCGCGAAGGAAACGCGGTCCCAGGTACTGGGGGGCAAGGACACAGCCAAGGAGGAAGAGCCCGCGGGAGACACGTGGGCTAAGGTGATAGGGAGAAAAAAGAAGAAGGAAGGGACTCAGAAAAAGAAGGCTGAGCCGGAAAGGAAGTCGCTCTCTCAGCCTTCCGCCCAGAAAGGGAAGGAAACAAGGAAGAGGCGGGTTCCCAGAACAGCGGCCGTCATCCTCACATGCCCAGAGGGAGAGTACTCCGAATGTATGGGTCTAGTGAGGAACAAGATAGCCCTGGAAGAGGTAGGGATCGCCAAAGCCCTAAACGTCAGGCGAACGGCTACTGGCGCGTTAAGCCTGGAGATCTCGGGCCAGGGGAATGCCCAAAAGGCAGATACCCTGGCGGCCAAAATGTCCGAGGTCCTGGCAGGTAAGGAGGGAGTCCGGGTGAACCGCCCCACCATGACGGCGGACATCCGGTTAAGCGGGTTTGAGGACTCGGTGAAGGGAGAGGAGATCAGGGAGATCCTCGCCACGAGGGGGAAGACAGGCCTGGAGGCTGTGTCGGTCGGGCCCGTTAGGCGAATGGGCAACGGACTTTGCACAGTCGTGGCTAAATGCCCACTGGCGACGGCGAATGCCCTAGCCAGGGAAAGGAGGGTAGCACTGGGGTGGTCGAACGCTAGGGTCGACCTGCTGGACAAGAGGCCACTCCAGTGCTACAAGTGCCTGGAAATGGGGCACACCAGAGCGAAATGTCCCAGCGAGCAGGACAAATCAGGTGCCTGCTACAGGTGCGGGGTTGAGGGGCACACGGTGAAGGGGTGTAACGCACCCATTAACTGTGTGGTGTGTGAGAGCAAGGGTCTGCCCCACGACCACCGAATAGGAGGATCGCTATGCACAGGGTGCAAGAGCGCTAAGGGAAAGGGACCGAGCGGCAAAGGGCCCGCGACTACGCCAAAGGCAACAAAGGCCAAGGCGGGGTCCGGGCAGAAGCCGAAGATCATGGAGAATCTGGTGGTCTCCGGAATCACCGTTTCCCATGAAAGGAAGTTTATTGCCGGTCTTGGCAACTTACTCCCGAAGGAGAAGAGGACGAAGCCGCCCCCAAAATCGACTGGGGAGAAGGTGGCTACACCGCAGGAGGGGGAGACCGCAGAAATGATGGAAGTGGAGGTAGCAGCAGAGGAGGCGGTACTCCCCCAACCTGTCGTGGAAACAAGGAAGGAAGCGGAGGAGACTCCTTCGCAGAACATGGACGCGGAATGAAAGCCGGTAAACGAGGACTCAACTGGGTGGGATGAGCTGGAGGACTCCTCGGTGGGCCGTATGTAATGGCCTGGCCGGTCCTCCAAGCGAACCTCAACCACGCCCGCGCAGCGCAAGATCTTTTTTGCCAGACAATGGCGGAGCGCGGGTGTGGTCTGGGGATCGCGGCCGAGCCCTACAACGTCCCAAGGAATCACCCTTATTGGGCAGGGGACGAGGGGGGGCTCGGTCGCGATAACGTAGAGGAATTTGCCGGGATCCCCTCAGGGCGTCCCGAAGAAGTCGGGGCGAGGGTACGTCCGCGTGGATTGGGGGCCCATCTCGGTAATCGGGATATACGCCCCTCCGAGTTGGAGCCTGGCCGAGTACGAGCAGTTTTTGACGGAAGTCGAGGATTGTGCCCGTGGATGCTCGTCCGGCCGGGTTATTGTCGCGGGGGATTTCAATGCGAAATCACGCGTTTGGGGTTCCCCGCGGCAGGATCCCCGCGGCGGAACCCCAAACTGGCGTCAGGCGACGCCACCGAAGAGTGGGCGGCGGGCCTCGGCCTGACGTTGATAAACACAGGCCGAGCGAGTACGTGCGTGCGGCGGCGGGGGGAGTCGGTGGTGGACCTGACTTGGTCCACTCCCTTCGCCGCCCGCGATATACGCGACTGGCGGGTGGCTGCGGACCTGGAGACACTCTCCGATCACCAATATATCATGATGACGGTCCGCACCACTCCCAGGGAGGTACTCGCCCGCCGCCGGCTTGTCAACAGGGACAAGCGGAGGTGGGCCCTCAAGAAGATGGACGTGGACCTTTTCCACGCGGCCATAGCCGCCCTTACATGGGGCGGAGAGGAGGAGGCGGCTGATGGGGAGGACGTGGACGTAGATCGGATGGCTGGGGGTCTGGCGCGGTTGATGGCCAAGGCCTGCGGCATCGCAATGCCCCGGGTCCGGTCGCTCCCCCCCCGTAAAGCCGCGTATTGGTGGACGGAGGAGTTGGCTGTGTTACGCCGTTCCTCCGTCATTGCCAAAAGGAGATGGCAGAGAATCCGCGCAGGTAAAGGTGATTCTCTGGATAAGGAAGAGGCGGGGGAGGCCTGGCGTACCGCCCGCCAGGCTCTCTCCACAGCCATATTTGCGGCCAAGAAGCTCTCCTGGAGGGAGCTCCTCGACAGCGTAGAGAAGGATCCGTGGGGGCGTCCTTACAAGCTCGTATTAGACAAGCTTAAAGCCTGGACGCCCCCGCTCACGGAGACGCTGGCTCCCCAGTTCGTCGGCGTGGTAGTCGATAAACTCTTCCCCAGAAAAGATGGGGGAGAGGTGAGATTCCCGCCGATGGCAATTCCGGAATGGAAGGAGGAGTGGGGAGTCAGCGAGGAAGAGCTGTCGAGGGCTCTCAAAAGGGTCAGGAGAAACAAGGCTCCTGGCCCTGATGGGATACCCAGGAGAGCTTGGACCTTGGCCGCAGGGGAACTGTCCGGCAGAATGCGAAAGACATTCACTGAATGCCTGAGGGCCGGACGGTTCCCCACAAGATGGAAGGAGGCCTGGTGCTCCTGCCGAAGGCGGGCAAGTCTCCGGACTTGCCCTCAGCCTACCGGCCTGTGTGTTTGCTGGACGAGGCGGGTAAGATCTTCGAGCGAATCATCGCCGAACGCCTCGTCCAGCATTTGTCCAACAGGGCAGAAGGTGGTATCTCGGATGACCAGTATGGCTTCCGTGCCGGGAGATCAACGATCGACGCTATTAAGCGCGTCCTCTCCCGGACGGAGGCCGAAATAGAGGCGGGGAGGGTAGTGATGGGCGTTTCTTACGACGTCAGTAACGCCTTCAACTCCCTCCCCTGGCCGGTGATCGGGGAGGCCCTGAAAAAGTTCGAGGTCCCTGATTACCTCATCGAGGTCGTCCGAGATTACTGCAAGGATCGCGGATTGATATACACGGACCGGGATGGGGTCCTGATGTTTAGGCTCGTCGAGTGCGGTGTTCCGCAGGGGTCAGTGTTAGGGCCCCTGCTTTGGATCATCGGCTACGACCGAGTCTTCAGGACCCCCCTCCCCCTAAATTGCTGGCTCTCAGGTTACGCAGACGACGTGTACCTGGGAGTCAGCGGGGGAGGATGGCAGGAGCTGTTTGGGCTGGCCAATACGGCAGCGAAATGTGTGGTGCGCTCAATACGGAGGCTGGGCTTGGAGGTGGCCCCGCAGAAGACTCAGTCGACGGTCTTCTGGAATCGTCGAGCGCGGGGCCCTCCTCCTGAGCGACTTAATCTCCGTGTGGAGAGAGTACGAGTCTCGACCACTCCTCACTTTAAATATCTGGGGGTTTGGCTGGACGAACGTAGGAGCTTTAGCGAGCACGTGAACCGCGTCGCCCCTAAGGCCAAGAGGATGGCCAATAGTTTGGCCAGGATCTTGCCAAACATCGGCGGGGCGAGCGGTCGCGTGCGTCGCCTCTATGTGGCGACCGTCCATTCGGTGCTGCTCTATGGAGCACCGATATGGTGGGAGAAGGTGGGTGGTAGCATCCACCTAAACGCTTAAAGATGGCGGCCGCGCAGCGGATAATCGCGCTTAGGGCCGCCAGGGCGTACAGGACGGTTTCCTACATGGGGGCGACAGCCCTCGCGGGAATCTCCCCTATAAAGCTCCTGGCCAAATTATACGCCAAAATGTATGAGGCGGCCAGTGAGATAAGGAGGGTACACGGGGTGATCCTGCCGAGGGCCAAACAGGCGCTGAGGCTTCAAACCAGGGAGGCCCTCCTCCAGGACTGGAAGGCGTACCTTGCGGACCTGCTGCAGACGCAACGGCCGCAAAGGGTCTATGGGAGGAGGGTCCTCGAAGCGGTCCAGCCAATACTCGAGGAGTGGGTGGAGGGCAGCAAAAAGAGGTTTGCTGCCTTCCACGCGGTGCAGGTGGTAACAGGCCATGGATGTTTTGGCGACTACCTGCACCGCATCGGGAAGGAGCGCACCACACGCTGCCACTACTGCCCCGAGGCGGTGGACACGGCGCAGCACACCCTAGAGGTGTGCCCAGCGTGGGACGAGGAGCGCCGTGTCCTCGGGGCAGCGATAGGTCAGGACCTCTCTCTCCCGGCGGTGTTAGCCGCTGTGGCAGAGCCAGGGGATATCGGGAGGGAGAGGTGGAAAAAGTTCGTCTCCTTCTGCGACGCTGTTATGTCGCGGAAGGAGGCGGACGAGAAAATTAGGAGGGGAGAGGTTTCTCCTCCCACGTCGTCGGAAAGTGAGAGCTCCGGCTCCGGCTCCGGCGACGATGGGAGCGACTAACAACAACCGGACACGGGTGGGGGAGGCGCTCTCTCCGACGAGGAGCGCTCCATAACTCCTGCCCACACAGTGCCCGGGCACCCACTTCGTTCGTTTTTTCGGGGGGTTGGTGTTGGCGTTGGGCGTTATGCCGAGGAGGGGGTGGAACGGGGGCAGACCGCTGGGTCTGTCTCCTTACCACCCATTTTGGTGCCAAGCAGGTTGGTGGAGGAAGAAGGGGCGGGCCGGCGGGGGCTCGGGCGGGATCCCCTTCGGGGTTCCCGTCACTAGCGCTCCCCCCGGTCCGCGGGGGCGGGGGGGTCGTCCGTCACGAGGAAAGTTTATGGCTCTCTCGGGGCGGCGGCCCCCAACCGCGCAATTAGGGGAAGTGAGGGGAGGAGGAAGGCACTTCGCGTAGAAGGGGCGACATTGCCCCTGTCGTCTTTCGTTGCCTCCTCCTCCCTTCACCCGGGGGGCGGTCGGGTGAACGAGGATATCCACTCGGCCGCTGCTCAGATTTTGAGCAACTCCGGAAGGGGGGGTGGTGGATGGGCGTGGTGGCACCCATCCGTCACAAATTAGACTTGATCGCCTAGAAGGGCGACGTACGAGGGGGCCCACGGAAGGATCAGTGCGTTTCCCGGGGCCTCCCCAGTACAGTACAGTGAGGGTCACTCGTGGTGGTTTTAGCCGGTAGGCCGCGGAGAAAAAATTTTGGCGGGACTTTCGGGTCTCTGCTCTCCGCGGAATCCGGCACTACCCTGTCCCACCCCGGGGCAGGGTGTCTTCCCCTCCTCGGAGGGGCTACTGGTGCTTCAAACCGAGGTGAAGCGAAGGCGCTCCCCGATCAGGAGCACTCCCCGATCAGGGACACTCCCCGATCGGAGGCTTTGGCCTTCGTGATTGGTTGTCCCTGTGACTGGTTGCTCCTGTGACTGGTTGCCTTCGCGGATCCGAGGGATTCCAGTAGTTGAAGATTTCCACCACGTAAAAAAAAAAAAAAAAAAAGGTTAGGTTAGGTCCGTCGAGCCAATCCGTCATGACCCCGAGTGACCTTCAGAAGGTTTTAGCCGTCGCTCGCTATTCGTTAAAAAGTTAACAAAAAAGTTTGGAAAATATAGCATATATAAGTGCATATATAGGTTAGTGATTTACTGCTTTAAATGTTGTGTTTTGGTAAAGCAGCGACTTTTTCGTAAAATAAAGTAGGGGAGACCGGGGCTAAGCCGACAACGGGGCTAACTTGGCACTAGGCTTTTTACCAATTTAAATCTATCGTAGAAACTTGCTCTTCCTACTGTAAATGCGTCTTTATGTGTCAGTATTATCAACGGAATTTGGTAACATTCTGAGTTATAGTGTAATTTTTAACGCGACATAAGCGTTTTTGATAGTAAAAAGTAATTTTTCTGATCTCTCGAAAATGTCTACTCTTTCATCGAGCTTTACTCTTGCGAATCTACCGATAAGTAATTTTGATGGGAAATTCGATGCTTTATACGAATCCGATATTAATTTTTGCATATTTTCAAAATTTTTATATTTTTGGAGTAACAAAAGTAAAAAACGACGTTCGGGGCTAAGTCGACAGGGGCTAAGTCGACACGCTGTTTTATTAGTTCCCAATAATAAACGATGCTTGTAATGCAGCATATGGCTAATGACAAATGTGTGCGCACGTGTAATCGCAAATTAACTTGCATACATTGTTTTTCAGACATGAGTTTAGATGAAAATAATTGAATGTTTAACAATTTTTGTTCTCATTATTTCCAATGATTGTTTTACTTAATTCCAAATTTTTGTACTTTCTAAATACACGATAAACAAATGTATATTTAGTTTCAGACAATAAAAAATAAGTTCCAGATCAAATTGTGTCGATCAGGCAAAGTGTCGAGTTTACCCCGGCATTTTTCAATTTGAAAATTTGTCTTTGCGTCACTTTTCCTTTCCTGGCGGCAAAATAAAGCGACGTACAGCAAAACTTCCTGAATCAATTTTGTACCTGAAGAAACACTCTTTAAATACATACCATTGAATTTGCCTAAAAATTTTAATTAAATATTAAAAATTGTCTTTGAAAAAATAGTGTCGGCTTAGCCCCGGTCTCCCCTATTCTCTGCTTTAACAAAAAGACTTCAATTTATCAACAATTTACTGCTTTAAATGTTGTGTTTTGGTAAAGCAGCAACTTTCTCGCGAAATAAAGTAATCTCTGTTTTAAAAAAAAGACGTTTATATTAGTCGCTTATGCCTTCCAAAACTCAAAATAGCTGCTATATTTTTCAAACTTTTTGTTTATAACTTTTTAATAAACAATGACCGATGGCTAAAACCTTTTGAAGGTCACTTAGTAGGGTGACCTTCACAACATATGTCAAGGTCAAGGTCATCGGAGAGGACGTCGCTATTATGCATAATTACCTGAAATAGTATACTTTTTTAGACGTTTCCCAGTCCTTTTTCTAATATTTTTGCGAGTTTGAGAATATTATTCTTAGAGATTATCTTCATAGTTTAACCCTTAAATGCCACACCTCTCAAGAATCTCGTAAATGACACATGGGGTCTAAAAGACCCCAGCATAAAAAATGTCTCCTTACTCATTGATTTTTTTATATTTAGTTATAAAAATTATTTTCAATGTTGTTCAAGGCTTAGAAAAGAGAATAAAAATGCTTATATTGTTAAAATTTCAATTTTAACATAGTATAAAAAATTAATAAACTGAGTACTGCTAAGTGTACAACCGGGTAGGTCAATCACTCAACTATCATCAATGGGAGCATGAACTCTATTTTTGGGGGGAACATTTGAAAATATATCATTGTAAAGGGTCTGGGGTCCGCTGGACCCCGGGTGGCATTTAAGGGTTAAAAATGCTGTGTTAAATCAAATCGAATGTATTGTTGACCTTTTTCTGC